GTGGAGCTATGCAGGAAGTTGGGAGTTGGAAGGGTGGAGCTAGGTGGGGGAGCTGGAGTATATCAACACAGCGGGAATTAGCTTGGTTGTGAACAACTGCCCTTCACTACCCTATTCAGCAAACCTGGATATTGATGAATCCCCACAAGAAGACAAGTTATAAGTGTTCATGTAAAAACCCTTAGGAAAACAAAATCATATGGTAAACTTCATATGTAATCTTGCTTCTCAGTGTTCTGTCTAGTGAGAGAGGGTTTCCCATAGATTTCCAAAGCCATGAAGCAAAAAACAGCACATGAAGGCTTGCTGGGCCATAGTTCCCTGAATTTCATTTTTGACTCTAAGTATTGGTAAGATGGTTTGTGGAAATGAACTCACGTACACGATGAAGCTCCCCAAAATGAAATCCAGTTGCACAGGATAAACAAAAATGTCTATGCTGGTGGTATTCTGTGAAGAAACATTTGGCACACAAGGAATACGTTCTGATATAAGATTTTTTCAAAAACTACCTAATAAATATTGATTGCATAAATGTAGTTAGCAAAAAGTCTATTTCCTTCAATATTCTGGTCATAATTTATAAATCAATGGTATGATGGAAGATCTACAAAGAATTAAGCTTAAAGTTTTCATAGACAATTAGCTACATACACAAGTAGTAAATCAGTTTAAGGAACTTGAAAGTTTTGGTTATAAGTCTTAAGGAATGTCTAAAACATGTAATAATTTTTTTCCCACAATTTTAAGGGTGAGCTGTAATTTTGCAATAGGCATCATCATCATGAGTCATAATCACAAATTTTATTTTTTATGGCAGTGAAGGAATAAACAAGATACCTTTCCTTTATCTCAACTGAAGCTATTACCTCAGGAAAGATTTGGGATTTTAGGTAACTCATAAATCTTTAATAGGTCAATGCCTCAGAAAATGGACTCGCTAATTTTAATTATGATTTCAAAATATATTGTTTATAATTTACTACTGTCTTGTAATGTCTTTGAGACACAGCTTTTTCCCTAGTTTTTTGAGGCTATCGATATAATTAATTTCTGAAAACATATTTATAAGTATTAGAAAATTCAATATAGACATTCA